CCCCCATCTTAGCATCAACTTTATGTGCTTCCCCCCGTCTGGTTTTTCAACCTCGCCCTCCTTTCTGATAATTATTGCACAGTCCCTATGATCAGCATGTTAATCAGTCTGGGAAATCTTTTTCAATATCATCTGTGTTAAAAGACCCGTACATCATTATAGCGGGGAGTTAATTCAACAGGAGGTTTTGAGATGTTTACGTTAATTTGTGCCTGAGGGAAGTATTCCTACTAGTGTCAGCAAACCATATCCTTGAACATCATCGTATAGGGATTATCGTTCTCTCTATCACGAAACAGTGTGACTCTGTCCAGGTTAACATGTTAATTGTCCACTCGTTTTCAATACCGCGTTCAGAGAGTCTCGTTGTTTGCAGTAGAACTCCCGATACGTTAAATCTTTATTTTGAATGCTGCTCTTTAAGTAATCTAAATCGCTTCCCTGTGGATTTGCGTTCCCTTTTATTATTTCGTGTGCGATGACAATATGAGAAGCATTTTGAGACGATGACAACTGCGAAAACGTGTTTAGTTTAACATTGTAGCGGTTCAACCTTTTCCGACGTATTCTCTCTACATTTTTTAGGATGTTTTCTGAATGAAGTTACGAATAATGAATATAAATATGAATACAATAAAAAATACAATTATCAGCATGTTACGATATAACCTCATTTATTTGGTTTAACGCAGCACGAATTGCATGACAACCGGTAGAATGAATATCAAGTTTCTCTGTACGAACCAAGTTGAAATCATTTGCTGTTGAATTGCCTTCAAGTACTTCTCGACGACATGATGTTATCAGTCTCATTTCGATTTTCAGCTTATCTAACAATTTTAACCACGTATTTAAAGATACGTTAGAGTACTCTATAGTTCTGATATGATTCAAGTGGTAGACCACAGATGACAGGTTCTAACCAGATGCCGGCTCAAATGGGGCGGCGTCATACTCGACTTGCCGCTGTCAGGATCGCTTGTCTGGTAAAAATGAAGAGACTTTAAAATAACTAATTTTGGAGGTTGTTTTACTCTTCGCAAGTATTCGACGATGTGCCCTTTCACCCGGTCTCTGAATGTAAAGTCAGTTCAAGCTGCGCGCATTGAAGATTCTATTGACCAAGAGAAGTACTTACTAAATTGTTAATAAAACAAACAAGTGTAATGCATCATAAAACATGATCACTGAGTAACATTATCCACAAGGTTCAGCCTTTTATCACTCCCTCTAGCTATTCTATATATTTCAAGTGATCACCTTTCCGGATTTTTCTAGACAAGATTTCTTAGTTGTGTTGCTGTTTTCGATTCATTTTTACCCTTCACAACCGCCATAAAAGTGACTATTTAACTACGAATTCATTCATAGAAATGGCGCTCATTAGTAGTCGCTATGGGAGACTGTATTGGATGTTATTGCACATACTGATTGCAAAACAAGTTGACCACTTGTACAGTACATGATTTGGATTTGCTATAATTGGGTATTGGGTATTTCCTAATGTTTATTTAGTGGGAACTAGTGCCCTTACTGTACGTGCCTTTCGACTGACAATAAAATTTGCAACCCATACTGTTTCTAACATCATTAATTCATCAAAGTTCAAAACTATTGTTAGTCGTGAAATAGAGGTAAAATGCATAATAACTCGAAGATAGCAGCTTTGCCGGTTAACTTTCCCATCAGCCAAAATACCAAACCATGCATTTATTTCGGTTTTCTCGCATTTCAGTTGTTTCAATTTTTCGGTGATGCCTGCAACGTGTCAAGTCGTTAAGCCATCTAATTTCGTGGTCTGTAATGATTCTAGAATGTTAGAATCATCTCGAACAGTTTGGTCACTAAAGAGTCTTCTTTTGAAAATTAAAACTAACGCAGCTCAACAGCGAAGCAGCTGTTTTCCCGCTGTTAGCGATAAGTGGCTTGAAAAACATTTACATTTTAATTTTGGTGGCAGGGTCTCCTGCCTTCGCACTAAATCTTCTATATATCTTAATTCTTTAGCTGGTGAGTAAATTGTAAATTATTCAGTTCCACCAGTTTAGAGGGTTAAACATCGGTTTCCCTATCGGCAGGACGTAAAACTGTCATAGATGAATTCTTTTCATGAATAGATGAGTCTCTTGAAAGCATAGATTTTAGTCGTGAGAGGAAATCCTTGGTAACGATGGAATAGATAATAGGATCGGCGACTGAGTTTAAAACCACTCCAATCACACAAATATTGTAGAAAATAAGAAATAGACGGTGTTGGGTGAAGGTTTCCAGGCAAAGTAGTGCTACACGGAAGGCGTTGATGGGAAACATTGAGATAGTGAACACGACAACTAGAGGTGTCAGGAGTTTTTTGGTTCGAGTGTTTTGTTTTACTCGCTTTAGTTCTTCGTCGCGCCTTACTTTAGCAGATTTGCTAAGCCTTTTGTGAAGAACGCTGCTAGCGTTAATCTCCCTTGTAATGCGTAGATACGTGTAGCTGATGACAGCCAAAGGAAGAACGTACAGGAGAATCGTGTCCATGACGTTATAAATTACGAGGAATAGCTGTGAAGGCCACTTAAGGTAGCAGAATGTCCCCATCGCGTTTTCCGTGTAAGTGATAATAAACAACAATGGGGTAACGAACAGAATGAATGAACCAACCCAAATCACTGCTATAGTTAGTTTCACGGATCTCTGGCTTTGCCGCCTCGTACAAATGATCCCTCGGTACCTCTCGACTGCAATCGCGACAATAGACCATATACAGGCGGCATGGAACATCTCTAGGAGAGGATAAAGCGCATAGCACATCTCCTTTCCTAGCGGCCAGTATGTAGGTGACTGCTCCTTGATGACAGCGATAGGGAAATTCACGACAAGAATAAGTAAATCTGCTATAGCAAGGCTTATCATGTACAGGCTGCCAGCAGAGCGACCTTTATCTCCTTTAGGTACCACCAAACACACTAGAATACTTCCTATCACACCCAGAAATGCTGCAAAGCTCTCGATAGTTAACCGTAAGATGACGACTGGTCGTGGTTCGGTGATGTAGCCGGCGAACTGATTGACCTTGGTGGAAGAGTTTATGGCTTGCGTGAAGTTTGACAAAACCTCCATCCTTCTTGATGCCTTGTTCAACTCTAGCTTCAAATCAATCGATTAGCTGGCTATTTCGCTTAAGAGTCGTCCACGCTTTTGTTCTCGGGACGGTATGAATGATTAATGACGTAATCAGAACATTATGAAAAATACCTCTTGTGGCTGAAGTATGTGACTGTCATTTACTTTGATTGCTTCACCGATAAGACTCATTATTTTCAATTGTTTTTGAGAAATGGAATAGAGAGACCTAGAAACAAGTAGAATTTGCTATTTTGCCGTATTCTAACATGGACCAATCTCGTACAGTTATACTAGCTCCTCCACCGAACATTACAACGACGAATACACCAACCTTATAATGTTTTTAGATCAGTACTTACATTTTGGCTCTCATTTTGCTTTGCCTATAAAAATGTCAAAAAGAAAATAACTCTTAATTCGAGCTATTTACTGACCTCGATTGAAAGGCTTTCTTTCATTTTTTAATAGGTTCAGCATAAAATGTGAAGAGAATTAATGCCATTAACGCCTTGGGTGATAAGGGATTATCTTTTTATCAGTGTCGGCTCGACTTCAAATGTCTCTCTGTCTGTAACTTGTACATAATTGTACAGAAACATATCCTGATACTAAACCTCTAACTCTTCACTCACCAATTTGATTACCCATTAGTTTTTACATACACTAATTGCCAGCAGAAATCCCGAGAACACAGTTTGATAAATTAATTAAGATTATAGCGCCCAGAGATCTCAAGACTCTTGCGACATTGACATGTTGAATACCCACACTAGAAAACCAATAATCCTTCTCACCGTTGAGAGTAAGTCCAGATTATACTATGTATTTCTTAAGAGCTTATGATAGATCTTTGTGGCTTCTTGGCGTGTCGATTTGGTAAAGATAATTCTATGAATTATTGAAAAGAATAATGAAGTCAAACCACTAAAAGTTGGTTATTTCTGTACCGAATAAGCATGCTTATATTTATCTTCTACAAGACATTTGACACTTTTTGCTCGCCGTTTTCATACTTTAACCCTGTGCGCTTTTTTGATAACGAATTTCGAAGAAAATATAATAAGGAGATGATTGAAGTTTAACCGCATACGACGTCCAGATGGCTATAGTCGTTTGTGGAGGTGACACGCGTAAAGCATGTTGAATATTTTTTCCATCAAGATCTGACCTAATGGAAACCTAACATTATCTGCTAACACCTGCATAATACCCAAACAAATGAATGAACGAAAATAACGAAAACTTAACAAAAACAAGTATTGACATCAATTATTTAAAGCAATGATTCTTGAAATCAACGAAACAACACAAATATTCATTTTGCCATTCACAGTTGTTATCGACTTGATATGATCGCGAGAAACAGTCTGCTTTAAGACTTTTCAGCTCCACGAAATCATCTTGTTAAAACTGATTTTTAGAATACAATGTAGATTGGTACTAAAGAAGGATTTAAATATCACATTTCTCAAGGAAATGAAACTATTTCTTCACTCCGAAATCCCCTGTATTTTTATTTCATTTTTACTAAAAGTCTATCCTTTACGTTGATTCTCGCGGTGTCCAGTACTTTTTGTCAGCTCATTCACTGCTGTTGAATTTTGTATACGTTCAATATAATATCAAAACAAGTGCATCGCGGTTTAATAGGATTATAAATTGCTGCTGTAACGTAACAGATCAGTTAAAATCAAAAAACCAGGTGCAGCTAGTCTACGAAGTTTGCCGCTCTTTTTCTCCCTGTCGGTCTGCTTGCAGGCTACAACAGCCCACGTAGTCAGTAATAATCGTGCCTTAAAGACCACTAAGGACCACTAAGCAGTTAAAAAAACATTAATAATCCGTGAACAAAGAAAGATGGGTATCTTATCGACGAACTGACTGCGATATGTATCTAAGAGGATTATGTTTTAAAACCACTTTATTTTTAATACTGATTCAAACATAATGAATCTTTTTAGGGATTTGTGTATTTGCTTAACTAATATCTGAATTAAAACCACCAGATTAGAAAGATAACAAACACGAATATGAAGAGAAAAAGATCAACAATGTTTTGCTGAGATGCTAAATAAAGAACAGTTTAAGACTTATTATTGTCGTACGTCAGGTCTAAATTACTCTAACTGATAATGAAACAAGTGTTATGCTAAGAGTAAGTAAATATGTTGATTACCACAGCAGTGTTGAACCATTAACCGATCAAAAACAAAATCAAATAATCCATAGAAAGTACCAGCAATGATTAAACTCGAGAAACTTTAATCGGTAAGAAGCTTATGACCATTTTTTGATAATATTTTTCCCGTCTCGACTCAATAGGTCAGTATAGGTTATAAAACACGCCTTTTTCCCTTAGGGATGATCATTAATGATCCCCACTGGCAAAAACTGTTGGTAACAGACACTAAAACTGAATGTGGAATAAAACCAGAAAAACACTTGATCACTGATGAGCGTGTTATGACTAGTTTTTAAATGTGAAGAAAAGTTTTGATTTGCGGCGGGGGGAGGGGGGTGGGGAGATAGATGAAATACTATAATGTCTTGTCTTGTCTGTAACTATTCCACGGATTGCGCGTATGTCGGCCGGACTTGTCCCTTTTTTCATCCATTCAAGTCTTCAGTCCTTCCTTCTGTTTGTTCGTTCTTCCTTTCCTTTAGGGATGAGGGAAAAGACAATTGCCATCTCACGGTACCAAATTTAGGGGGAGGGGTGGTGTTACCTGTTACCAATCACCTCTGGAAGTGAAATCCTAGAATTTGTCCCCAAATATCTCCAAAACTAAAAGCCAAACCATAGAAATGAATGGACTGTCTGTCTGCATGTATGCTAAAAAACATATTTGTGTATAGAAATTAACATTACAGAATCCCAGTATCGAGCAATTGAACAGGGTTCTGAGGGGGGAGGGGGTATGTACCGGTACCCACCACTTTAATTCATAACATTGTGTCCCTATTTTGGACCATTAGTCCTTCCTTTTCTTTAATTCGTCCTTTTCATTTTTTCATTCTATTTTCCCCTTTTTCCTACCTTCACTGAAGCTCATTCAAAGCTTTCGCTGCCTTGCCCACGGGATTGCTATCAGTGATACTTGACCCCCATGATTCTACAATGTAGGTCTGACCTATTCTGATGCCCTGAGCCGGTTAGATAGACGCTTAACAACATGCAAAGTATCTAAGGAATCCTAATTGTCATGCTATCCAACCTGGCGGCCATGTCTTTTGCTCTTTTATTCTCATGGATTGGGTTGCAGATTTAAATTTTGGAATAGAAATATGCTTCTATCAAAAAAAAAAAAATCTATGGCTATTTGAGATTAGCTGAAATGTAGATCCATGGGATACCTGTGCCTAATACAATCACGTGACCAAAACAACATGGCGGAAAAAAAGTGAAGTTTTCTGCTTTGCTATAAAATGTTAAAAACCGACAAAAAACTTCGCCTGAAGACCAAAAATGGACGTTTTCTGAATGTCGTTCGTGAGCATTACCTACGTGATGATGTAGCATGTCACAGTCAAGCCTGTCAGAAATGTCAACAGCAACAGGAAAATATTGGTATAAACACGAAGTCTTACCGTTTATAAGTTTCATCTTTATAATATAAAGTTATATTTAAATAGTTCATATATTGTGTTGGGTTTTTCATAGGTGAGGTTCTGTTATCATCTGACTTGACCCATTATGTTGTACCAGATATCGAGGTAAGAATAATATATCCACCATTTATTATTACTATCTTAGGGGATGAGAAGTAAAAAAGGGGGACTTAAGCTTAGATGTTTGCTATTCACGTAAAGGACCCTGGACAACACAATAGAGGTTTTGCACCATCATGTGCCGATCCCATAATACTGCTTGGGCTTCCTGTGGTTAGATGACAGAACCTCTATTACTTTATTGAGAAGAGAAGGGGTTTACATTGGTATTGGACGCTGAATTTCTTCCCCAAATATTGCTTTGCAATTTAAATTTGAAAAACTGAAACTTCACTTCCCATTTCAGACCTCGTTTCTTTCCCTGGAGTATCATTTTTTTGTTTAGGGTTGATAAAAATTGATAAATACCTAAATATGGATAGAAGTCAAACAAAGAATCTTATTCTCAAGGGAATGACACATGGCCTGAAATGGGAAAACGTTACACCCAAGCTGAGAAGGTCTAATCTCTTTCCAACTAGGCGAAAGCCAGGACCAAAACCCTTGAAACACAGGAGAGAACGGACAAACAATTCTACTCACATATGACACATAGCCAGGGATTCAAACCCAAGTCACATTGGCTGGTTAGAGGCGTGCTTCCCATATTATGAGTGACGGATTCAGGAATTTTAGAAGGGGGGTTACAATTACTAAGGTTTTACCAGGATTGCAAGGAAAAGAGATTATCGATGATGTCTGTCTGTTCTTCAGGTCACTTCATCATTCTTGGAATTATTTGAGTTTCCTGAAATTCAAGGAGTGATATTCTTTCAAACAGTAATCAACCATGTAAGTATTCTATAACTACTGTGTTAAGATCACAATACTTATTCTCCAACTTTGTCTCCATTAATTGGCCCATGTGATATTAATTATACATTTCTATAGCTCTATTTCCCGGAGGTTGAGAAAAAAATAATGGAAAAACAGAAATAGAAAACTTGCACCTATTCACAGAGCCATTAACTCATTTAAGATGACAAAAAAATGAATTTGAATAAGATTTAAATGTTTTCTCATGCATCACCCATGAGGATTTAAACAACCATTTTAAAATGAAAGGCCTGTCGATAAAGACAGTGGTTGTTGTTTAACCTGATTGAAAAATGGTTTGATTTTATCTTAAGCTACAGCACCATGGCAGTCGAAAACTCGTCAACAGGATAAAAGAATTAACAAAAGACAAACGACATGGCTGCGTTATCTTCTCTAATGAGTTTTGCAAAGGAGCATACACCAAAAGACTTGCCGGAGAAACCCTTCAAGAATGGCAACAAAGGTATGTGTGGGCTACCTGTGGCTGGGATTCCACAGGATACCCACTGATTAGCAGTTAATGCCCATGAAATATATTCACTTGCAGCTTTTTTCATTGCTATGCGCTGACAAGAGTCATGACAGGGAAATCAGGCAACAGCCTATCATCAATCCAAAAACTGTTATTATGGGGTCCTATGTATCCCGTACTATAACAATATATTTTTTGTTTTACTTTATGCCTTAGGAATATATTTTCTGGTGCTAAATGGTACTACAATCACCTTAAAGATCGTATTCCCATTGTCATGGTAACCAATGATAGACAGGTATGACTTACTTTCTTGCTTGGATGGTATATTAAATGGTGGTCCAGAAGTTTACTACTCCCCCTGATGAAGATAGATAGATGTGGGAATATACTTTCATTAACCACTGTGCTAGGGGGGGGGGGGGGAATAACCCCCCTCAATAATTATGCTTCATTTTTTGGTTTATTCACTTATTTTCTATTGGGTATAAAATTCAGTATTCGGAAAAGATTTCTGAAATATTAGCCCCCCTGACTACCCACTCTAGACTCATTCTGAGGTGCGCATAGCGTGTATAGAAACTGCTTCATGTTAATCCTGTTGTCTTGAGTATTTTGCTCAGCTAAATGTTTTCTCAAGGATCCGTCTTGTGAGACTTTGAATTCTTATTTATTTACTATGCTTCCAACAAAATGTTGAGGAGAATTAGACAGGTGATACCACCTATAGGATAGTCACTTAAAGTCTTTTGTTCTAGTGTTAGTCTTTAGAAAAAATGATCAAGATTTTTTCTGTAAAATACTGTATCCTTAGTATGGACCAGACCTAATTGTAATTGTATTTTATTATGTCTAGTCAATCGATCTGTTTAGCAATCAAATTCTTGGCGTATTTGTGTTGAGCTTGAAAGATTATTTGAATGACTTTTATTCTGGACACCGGACTATATTAGATCTTTATGATTCCCTACGAGCTGTCATAGATGAAGAAAAATCTGATCAACAAGGTAATACAATGTTTATACAATGTTTTTTATCCATTTCACAAGGTTTGTCATTCCCTTGACAATAAGATTCATCGTAATTTAAGTTTTATCCGCATTAGTTGAAGAAAGAAATGATGATATAGGGATTGGCATCAGTTCGTATCGATTCACAATCTTCTTCTTTCTCTGATTCTTTTCTTACAAATATATACGAATTTGAAATTCAAATTATTACTGATGCACTTGCAACTAAACATGTGGTCTGAAGTAAATTGGATGTGTGAAGCAGTCTTATTGATTGACTGACTATATGATAAAGTTTCAGATTTAGATGCAAAGAATTATGTGGAATATTTACCCCTTGATGTCCTTGAAGCTGGTATTAAATCTGTAAGTAAACTTCATCATAATGAAACCAATATCTTGTTATCAATGAGGCTATTTTATTGTATGATTGGTTGATGATGATGATAATGATGCCAAAGATGATGATGCTGTGGATGGTGATGATAATGTTGATGATGATGATGATGATAAATAATGACAATGGTGGTAAAGATAATTCTGTTGATAATGATAGTAGGGATATAGACAATCTCATGAAATGTATATCATAATATATTATATATTATATTTAACCAATTTCTTCCAGTTTCCCATGGTATGTCCTCTTAATTATTTACTACAATTTTTTTCATCAAATGTCAAATTGTTGTGGACTCACAATGCGTAGCCAAGGTAATCCACGACATATTTTGATGGCTAGATGATGAAAAAAGTGCTTAATAAGAGGACATACCAAAGAAAAATGAAGGAAATTGTTTTTACCACAAAAAATTAAAAATTCTACTACAAAAACAAGGGTAAAATTTGAAAGAAAAACAGGGTTTCAAGTGTGCACGTTATTATATATTTGATTTCAATCTTGCTGATAATGATAATGATATTAAACTGATGATGTTGTTAATAATGATGCATAATGGTGTTGATGTTGATGATGATGACACATTTATCGTATTGCAGGGCAGATATTATCAAGGCTGTCTTAATGTTAACAAACACAATTCACAATCAGAAGCCTTCATACAAAGACAGAGGTATTTTTCTATATATTACATTGATAAATAAATATTCAGAGCTTATTCCATCTGTAAGCAAAATCAAGCCTGGTTCAGATGTCTACCTTTGCTCATATTCTATCAATAGATTCACTTGAAGTGTGGATGGTGAAGAAGTAGAAAACTCCCACATTTGCTGTGTGCAGCATCCAGGAGTTGGCAGAACATGAGAGAAGTGTTAGGAGAAAGACAATGCAAATCTTGACACTTCTTGAGTGTTCTGCAATCCCCAAGTGCTTTATAACTCCACATAGCACAGCAAACAAATTTTTACAAATTACAGTAACCCTTATTTTGGATAGGAATGATGCAACTGAAAGCCTGTATGCTGTGTTCTCTCATAAAGCAGATACTCCCAACCAATATTACCATTAGTTATTTTATAATGTGTATTATACTTTTCCTTTACAGTGAGATAGCATCTTCTAGTAAGAGTAGCTTAGCCTCTGATATCTTGATACAGGGAATGGTGAACAGGTCAGTATTGTGTTTTGTCATTTAATTCTGCAAAGAATGTGCGTGACACAGGGAAAGACCATGCCTGATATGACACCTTATCAGCACTGCTCATCTGCTCGCGATATGGTATGATATAGTTTAGAGGGATTTCTTTGCAGAATTAAATGATAAACAACTTATCAGTCAGCTATGCATCTTATACGGCTGTACCTTTTTACTTGTCACTTGTATTTTGGCTTGCCTAAAGGGTCGCCAAAATACTCCGTGACTCTGTAACATAAAAATACACAGCTGTATCATGCTTAGCCGACTGATAACATCTATATAACCCTACTGCATACAATGAGCTAGAGAAACCTTGACATCCACACTTATCATCCATAGAAACCGTGCCATTCATGGAGACATTGTTGTTGTTGAATTGTTTCCTAAACCAATGTGGAAAGGAAAGTCTACAGCACTGAACACAAACGAAGGTATGTTGTAACCATGCTATAACCATAACATTACTAGTAACATGAGGTTTCTTGTAACCATGGTAACATCTCTATTATCATGGGTTTCTTGTAACCATGGCAACATTACAAGTAACATGAAGTTTCTTGTAACCATGGTAACATCTCTATTATCATGGGTTTCTCGTAACCATGGTAACATCACCTAATGACATTGGGTTTCTCGTAACCATGGTAACATTACTAGTGACATTGTGTTTCTCGTAACCATGGTAACATTACTAGTAACATTGGTTTCTCGTAACCATGTTAAGATCATGCTTGTTATTACAGATACACAAGATAATGAAAGAGAGACAAGTGATGTCTTGCCTACTGGTCACGTGGTTGGTGTTCTGCAGCGGAACTGGCGGGATTATATGGCAACATTTTCTGAGGTAAAACATTCTACCACTGTTTAAGTACGTTGGCCGCATTTTTCGCAGCTAGTCCTTTTCTATGAATAAGTTAAGTGCTTGTGCGCTTATCGACGTCAATCCAATGTTTTGATGAGCAAAATATCAAGAAAACCTCTTCAAACTCTCATATCTCTTCAAAACGAATGGTGACCCCAATTATTTATTTCGTATATTTAAAGAAAAGCTAAAGATGTGCATTCATTCAGCTTTTTAAAAAATCACATTTAATTATAGCAACTGAAAACACGATATTTTCTGCTCCATCTCGACCCGCGAGAGCGACAAAAAGCGACATGCAGTTTTGTTTGAATTGTGAGTTTTCCCCAAAACATGAGAGTTTTATATGTCATTGGCCGAGGCTTTATCTCTCATAACCTTATGAGTGTATTTATTTGTTAATAGGAAATTCAGATACAAAGTCAAAAGTCAAACAAGGTAAGCCAGCCTTGATCTCATGGTAACCATAGTAACTATCCTTCACGTGATCACACCAACCGATCACGTGATCGCTATCATAACTCAATTACTATTCTCCACTAATGTGCCTTCCCTTTAGAATGATTTCTTTTTTTGCCGTTTATTTATCATCATAACGATCTTGCGTACCTTTGACTCACTTTGGGAAGCACGGGTGGCTTAGCGGTGAGAGTGCTCGCATCTCATCAATGTGACCCGGGTTTCGAGTGCCGCCGGGCTCGTTATCATATATGCCGAGTAGAGTTTTTAGTTGGTTGTCTGCTGTGCTTCGAGGGTTTTTCTTCGGGTTCAAGTTACAGTTTTCCTCCCTTCACGAAGATCAACTCCTAATTCAATCTTGGAGGTTTGTTAGCCGCTGGCTATGAAGTGTTATTCTCGTAAAACCAAGATGGGTTAATAGTGTAAGCCCAGACAATCAGCTCACGTTATGACCGAATTGTATTAGAAATAGCTAAACTTGGCCCCTCATTATAACTTATACTATTTGCTTGAGCCGGGGAAGATTGTGGCTATTCTGTTTGCTCTACGTCTGTAATGTAAAGTACATTAACTATTTGGTGCTTTATTATCTTCGAGCCTGTCAATCCATCCCTGCGGGTGTTGTAGGATATGATTGGCTAATCAAACGTATAATAAGCTACTAAGTCGTTCATCACCATATGATGACATACCTGATGGCCTGTTTTCACAGAATTTTGAAAAATATACTTAGACCTACTTGTAGATAGCAAGGCCCTAAAATAAGAGCTTTGGAGGGAAAAAAAATCAAAATTTACAGGAAAAATCTTTTAGGATCTTTTCATCGCAGTGGAAAGTTGTCCTTTTATTTTCCCTTCACTGTTTATTAAGACCTTTGGACAACAGACATTTTGCAGCCGGTTTTATGGCTGTATTAAGTTCCCTTAATGTTTCTGTATTCATTTTAATCTTCCTCGGTACTGAGTATTTGACACATCTTTCTACACCTGGTGCCTCAGGTATTAAATTCTTTATTCCATAATTTCATATCTTTAAACATAAGAAATGAATGCTAGAGGTTCCTCATAGTTCATATCAGCTAAGCATACACAGTTTAATAACATTGTCAAATTTATGTACAAATAAGATCTTTGTCTTTACGATCACATGTCATGACCATCAAGACACATGCAATCAAAGAGTAAGAATACCATCAAGATAGCACAGAACAGTAATAATAGATTAAAATAATAATATAAAAGTTTTCGCACGTAAATTGTTGAATTAGGTGCAATGGGTTTTTTCAGCATCAGAATAAAGCCGATTACTAGTTACACAGCTGAATCATTATTACAGTTTCATCTATTTTTTCTACAAATGTCTTTAAACAGTTTCTTGAGGTGTTCCTTTACGTCATTGTTGGTAAAGGCATAGATAACTGGGTTGATCCAAGAAGCGCATGAACTCAAATAACCCAGATGTTTTAAGATCTTCTTTCTGGACCTTTTCAGCGCGGGTGATGTTTCACCGACCTTTATGACTCTTATTGCACTGCAAATGTACAAGGGTGTGTACAAGATCACAAAGGCTCCTATCAGCAGCCCGATAGTCTTGGCCGCTTTCAACTCAGATTTCCTTTTATAATGTTTCGGTGTTTCTGGGTACGCCTTTCTCGACTGGGTTTTAACAACTTTGAAAATGATACCGTAGGACGTCAACATTACGAAAAACGGTAAAATGTAGGCCCCGATTCTTATTATGTTAAATTTGAGTGGTCGGTGTTTCGTGGCATGCTTGACAGAGCCATAACATCGAGTCATGTGCTTCCAAAAATCATCTTGATCTGCGGCTATGCAAACTAGTCGTATCAGTTGTTCAGCAAAGATAACCCACAATACAATTGCGAAGAAAAGAGCGCGCCTATTAGTGACCCATAATGGGTATCTTAAAGGATATTTGATGGCTAACATCCTGTCTACGCTAATAATACACAAATGCATGGTGGTTAAAAACAAAACATTGTTATAAAAAACCGTTAATATGGAGCAAAATGCCGCTCTATGTTCTACCTCGAGTGAAAAATAAATGACCAATCGTGAAACAAAGACAAAGACATTGAGCATGTTAGCGCCGGATAGACTAGCTAGTAGCATATTATTAGGTGTCCTTAATCGATGATATCTGTACACAACCCAGCATAATAGTGAGTTACCTAGTACCGTTAACGGTATGTTGAGAATGTACAATACTACAGGAAATAGCGAGGTTGTCTTGGGCGATCGTTGATTTGTCCCGTTTGTAACATTCATATTTATCTGGTTCAGTTCTTTTCTCCTCTGTCTTGCGGATATCTTGTATTACAACAGGTTGTCAGAATGCTTTCTGCTTCCCAACTTGACTGACTCCAGTGTGTTTCTATCGAGGATGTTTTGTACGAAGGTTCTGTTTCGCATAGCAGAATGCTCCGTTAGTCCATGGCGTGCTCTGTGCTCTTCTCTTTGTGTTGTTCGGCTCTCTTTCTCTTCCTTCTGTTTCGACTCTTTTATATTCTTAGTAATTCCCTCCTTACACCTGCTTATTACGAATGAATGCTTCAGTCTCACCGCCTTTTTTCTTATATGTCATATCATGAACACATCTAATGGACAGTTTAATTGTATTTCCTATTCATTTATTCGCCCTATAATAGCAATATGTCTTTGCCATAAATAATTAAGCATAAACCCACAGTAGGGAAGTTAGACTACTCATAACTAAATACGTTTTAGATCTTACCTTTATTCATTTATTGTTCGGATTGCAATTCTACTCTGGCATCTTGCATCCTATTTAATTATTTGTTTTTACAGTTGTCCTTAATTCTGTTAATTTCGGGGGGTGTTTGCACAAGCGAGCGAACTCTCTCGGACGAGCTTCCTTTTCCTTTTCTTGTTATTTTCTAGTAGAAATTGTCGTTTTTTCTCGAGAACTTTGAACACCTGGAATGGTATGATGTGCAAGATTACCCAATAAATATATTAGTCAATGCAGCCCGTGTAAGGGTTAGATCATAAAGGTCATTCGAACGCGAAAATGCTTTTCCCATACCTCCCGCCGCCCGGCTTCCCCCGGACGGATGAGAATGTCATGGAAATGACTTAACAAAAATTAAAACTTCTTCCGTGGCAGGTTCTGGTAGCACCATGGGACTATCGCATCCCGAGAATACGTATTTCTACCCGACAAATAGATTCCTTGCGAGATCACAGGTAAACTTACAATCATTTGAAGCATAATGACGTCATCATGACATCATCATTGGGATCGTAATTAACATGATTTACGTTGTGGCTGAGTCAATAATTGACCTCACCATAGTACGTTTGCATGATGGCGTCATTTGACTACCACTACCATAATGCTTCGCGAATTTTATTTCTTATTTAAGTTCTCTCATAAGAAATGTGCAAAGGAGTCTAGTAGTAGAGGTCAATGACGTCATTATGCAAACGTCATATTACTTCATCTTTACTTCATCATGTTTATTATTAACGAATGTCTGTTTTCTTTCAAGAATCGTGGTGCGCATTGACTCATGGGATATCAACTCAATGTATCCCAATGGGCATTTCGTTCGTTCTCTGGGTGTAATCGGAAATCTAGACACTGAGATCAGTACTATCATGCTAGAGCATTCGTTGTTTGCACCACCGTTCACTGACAGCCAGCTCAAGGAGTTGCCTAGCAACCGCCCAAATGCACCCTGGGTAATGGATCCAAAAGAGATCGAGAAGAGACGAGACTTAAGGTCAGTAGAAAGGTCACGTGATATGTGTTATATTATGGGTGTTTTATTGTATTATTGGTACAGGTCGTCTCATCTGGTGTTCAGTATCGATGGTACATTGTCAGTAGATAGGTCACGTGATATGTGTTATATTATGGCTGTTTTATTCTATTATTGGTACAGGTCGTCTCATCTGGTGTTCAGTATCGATGGTACATTGTCAGTAGATAGGTCACGTGATATGTGTTATATTATGGGTGTTTTATTATATTATTGGTGCAGGTCGTCTCATCTGGTGTTCAGTATCATGGCACATTGTCAGTAGATAGGTCACGTGATATGTGTTATATTATGGCTGTTTTATTATATTATTGGTACAGGTCGTCTCATCTGGTGTTCAGTATCGATCCTAAAGGGTGTGAAGACGTTGACGATACCTTGTCAATCAGGTATCTTTGCTTACTTTAATCACTCTTTCGACAACACGATCATTATCATCATCATCATCATTATCGTTCTTCAATACAGTTTGTTTGCGTGTTTTATAGAAGTCTTAGTGGAGGAAGGATCGAGCTTGGAGTACACATAGCAGATGTTACATATTTTGTTAAACCAGGATCCTTGACAGATGCTGAAGCCCGTTCAAGGTCAGTCAAATCACAGACAATAGTTCATGAGTGCTTTCATCAAACATCGCAATAATGACAAAAACCGCAAACCAATGACAACGTAGAAAGTAGTCAACTGTCTATAGCTATGACAAGCACCTTTTGTAACATTACATCTTGCCATCTAGATCAACCACAGTGTACTTGGCTGATAGAAGATACGATATGCTTCCTGAAGTACTAAGTGCTGACTTGTGTTCACTTATCAGTGGAGTAGACAGGTATGACTATTAATGTAGTAGATAGTACACGAACCGTGATTGGTTACTTAGTGTTGACTTGTGTCAGTAGTACACGACCTGTGATTGGTTATTTCAAGCACCATATGATATCTAATTGACCTACAGATACGCCATGAGTGTGATATGGGAGATGGATTCTAGTTATAATGTGATCAATGCCTGGTATGGACGAACAGTCATCAGATCATCCTACAAGCTGTTTTACGAGGTCGGTATATCTGTTCTCTGATTGGTTGATTTAGATCAAGTGACATTACTCATATTATTACTTGCAATGGCAGTGAACGAAAGGGCAATAGTGAGGTTGTTCAATAAATGAATCTTACTTTAGTTACCAGTCTCTAATGAGGGTCAAACACCGCCCACCATAGTTCGTCCCAGTCCCCCCTCTAGTTTTCTATRAAATACCTGCAAGAAAAGGGGAAGTAGCTTATTAAAACCTGCCAATCAGCTGATAGCAATCACAGGAGACCGGAAATGACGTGTATTGATAGTAACAAGTAACTGTTGGTTCCAGGTTGCTCAGGCCATATCTGAAGGCCAAGTCACCAGACAGGAAGTGATCGCTGATGTGCCTGAACTACAGGGAATGAGCGAAGACAAGGCTTTAGAAAGGTGAGATATCGATCGTTAGTGACTGCAATAGTTACACCGTGTGGGGACTAATGTAACAGACTGTTGTGTTGATTCCTTCATGCAGGCTTAAAGAGCTAAGATGGTCAATCATGAAACTGATGGAAATAGCAAGACACTTGAAATTCAACAAGACAATAGAAGGTACAAAGACATGACATAAATAAAACTGGGTATTAGTGGGTATCATCACCGTTTGGACTGTGTATCAATGTGTATTGTCAGTGGGTGGACTGGGTATCGATGGGTATTATCAGTGGGTGGACTGTGTATCAATGTGTATTGTCAGTGGGTGGACTGGGTATCAATGTGTATTGTCAGTGGGTGGACTGGGTATCATCAGCAGGTGGACTGGGTATAAGTGGGTATCATCAGTGGGTGAACTGAGTGTCAATGGATATCATCGATGGGTAAACTGGGTATCGATGGTTATCATTGATGGGTGGACTGGATATCATTGTTCCCAGGGAACTGGGGAGATGATTATTAAAACAAGTGAAGAACCAGTAACAAGTTCAACTTATTTTCGGTTGTAGGTGCACTAGAATTGGAAGGACTTGAAGTACAAGTCCAATTAAACGAGAATAAAGACATCAAAGATCTGTCTCCGAAGAAGGTATGAAACATGTTGGTCAGAGTAACAGTAGTTAAAGACTGTAGCTATTTTGTTAGTGCAAAGGCTTCTGGGATCGTCATTTATTACTGTTATTAATCTTTAATACTATAGCCTCTTGAGGTACACGAAACCATTGCTGAATGTATGATCTTTGCAAATCACTGGGTTGCCAAGAAAATAGCACAAGTCTTTCCAACTGCTTCTCTGGTGAGTGGGTTGATTTACAGGCCATCTGTTCATCAGTTTGTTCTCTGTAGCTGTTTGTTTGTCTAGCTTGCCTCTGTCAGTGGGTATCATCTGTACGTCTTTTTATGGTTTGATGTAATTTATCGTCGTTGCTGTTTTAGTTACGTCGCCACCCACTGCCTCGACAGCAGTATTTCTCAGATCTCATTCACTGCGCAGAATCAAGAGGATTTTCCATCGAAACAAGGTAACAGGGACTGGTAACCAAGAAATATTTCTGTTACGTGATATATGTCAACCAATGACAACGTATTTATGATATCTTTAATCTCCAGTTCCAACAAGCTGTTGGCAGACTCTTTAGATGAATGTGTTGATCCTGGCGATCCTACCTTTAACAAGGTACACCGGTATATTTGATGGTCACCCTGTGGTTTTAGTGATTATTCTTGCCATGTATATGATATACCGTTTTCTTTTTTGTTGTAATCGCGCACACAGCTAGGGTATGGAAAGATATAGTACACTTTTTGTTCCGCCCTATGACAGCAACTGCACAGGAGTAATAGCTTCCACTTAAAGTAAACCAGTCCGCAAGGACTCGGTAAACTTCAAACATCGACCAATCACATTGCTGTGACCCTCAAATGGCTTCCTTTCTAGACCAATCAAAAACGACGCCTTAAATACAGCTCGACCAATAACATTGTTCATTCTTGTCTCCTCAGATTCTTCGTACTTTGGCCACCCAAGCCATGTCAAATGCTTTGTATTTTTCAACTGGTTCTGTGTCTCCCGAGGAGTACTTTCATTATGGGCTGGCTCTTGATCGTTACACACACTTCACTTCACCTATTCGTAGATATGCTGACGTCATCGTAAGTAGAACCTATTGTCACGTGAACGAGGGCATGGGTAGTCCAGAGCTGGAACTATTTTTTCTGTGGTTCCCAATCTCTTTCTAGGTGCATCGGTTACTGATGGCTGCGGTGGGGACTGGTGACAAAACGTGCCTATTAAATAACAAAGAACTAGAGGAGCTGTGTCATCATATTAACACTAAACACAGAGTAAGAACCAAATGTTTTATCGTTTATTTAGACGTTTGATATGATCTGACGTCATGCAACCATTTTACTACACAGGCAGCCCAACTGGCACAAAAGGAATCTGTCCAGTTATTCGAGACCCTGTTTTTCCAGTCCATGGAAGAGAATGATGAACGGCGTATTGTTGATGCCATCATATTTAGCATTAGGTCCAATGGGTTGTTAGTTTTCGTACCAAAGTAAGTCACATCCTATGTCATGCAATACCCGTCACGCTAACAAAGGAGTGTCATGTTTTTGATGTAACGCCAATCTCTTGTTTCTTCAGGTACAGTGTAAAAGGTCCAGTGTACTTAAAAGATAAAAATGGACAAGTTGTCACGCCATCTTATCATACTGATGACGGCGTGATTTTTGGTCCAGGTAACTTTATTTTACTGAGTAAAGAGTTGTAGTACAAGATTGAGTGTGTTGGGTGTTGATGATGTTATAATGATGATGATTATCAAGTCTGTCCTTCCAAAGCAATCCTAATGGAAGAAAAAGCATGGAAAAAACCTTCCTATGTTTCGCGGAAAAAACATCAGATAAGAAAGGATAGTTAGGATCAAACAAGAGAATGACAGTCTTATATCTTGCTTCTATAGGAACATTAGTCCAGCACAAGTACCACGTTACCGTACATCATTCATCAGGGACAAACACCTTTCAGTTATTCGACCATGTGCAGGTAGTTGTAAAACATGTCACTATGGTTCATCCTACGAGTATCTGTATTAATATCACAAGCCTATTGTCAGTCATTGATGATCTGTATAGATTAACCATGTCACTATGGTTCATCCTACGGGTATCTATATTAGAGTCACAAGCCTATTGTCAGTCACTGATGATCTGTATAGATTAACCATGTCACTATGGTTCATCCTACGAGTATCTGTATTAGAATCACAAGCCTATTGTCAGTCATTGATGATCTGTATAGATTAACCATGTCACTATGGTTTATCGTTAGGTACGGGTATCTGTATTAGAATCAAGAGCACACTGTCAGTCATTGAGGATGGATCTGATCTCACTTAAGACAAGACGAACTCCCCCTTCAGGGGAACTTATTGATAATGTCCAGTCCAACAAGATGAAGAGATCTCAACTCGTAAAGGTAAATAAGTTGCTCTCAGTTTTCCAGTCTCTTGAAATGTCATGCGTAGCATTCGGCCCTAAACATTGGGATTCTCGACCCGTGAACAGAAGTATTCTTACTGCGCATGCTCGTAGATATGCTCTTGAAAGTTTTCACTTCGAGCATGCGCAGTAGAAAAGGCCAGGGCACTGGGGACGAGAGAAGTTTAAGCATTATCAAGAATCCATCATTAACAAGCTCTTGATCTGCTTCTAGGAAGTGCAAAACAAGCAGGAGAATAGCGTAACACGTGACCTTGACGTCAGCGACGAGTACAAGGCCTTGGTATCAGAGTACGGTCAGACACATCCTAGTGTTAGTCTGTACGCCTTGATGGAACATTTTAGAGAAATGTCACTAACAAAGGATTGACATAACGATATCAAACCGAACAATAATCGATTAGTATGAAAGACCACAAAGCTATCATACAAACCTAGTCTGTATATCACTAATAGA